ATTTTGAAAATGGTCCTCCACAGCAAAGGACTGTAGCTCATCCCTTTGTACTTGTTAGCTTTCATGCTGTTTAACACTTTGGGTGGAAAAGAACAGTTACCTCTGACTGTTTATTTTTGTTAAGTTTTTGTAAAATGAGCACATGAGAGTAATGTAGCTAAAGTTTTGTGTTTGGCGAGACAAAGAAAATTCCATATCAAAACAGAATGTAGTCCTAAGATTCAAGGAATGTGCTGTGATAGATATAGAGAAGTGTGCTTTAAGTAGGAATGGAGGAAGTAAGCAGGAAAATATAGTGATGCTTTCAATCAAATACATTTATATTTAAATACTTAATTCTTATTTTTGGAATATTTTTTAATTCTTATTTTTAGAAGAATTTTGTGGCTGATGCAATCCTCAGCCACAAGTTGTTTAATTATGTCAGTCAATATTATGGAAGTTTTCGTGACTGAATTTTAAGACATCATTATAGGCTAAATCTTACTAAGTCACTTAGACTTGAATCTTCCCAGAGAGTTGGTTCCTATTACAGTCAATAGGATTCACTTCTCAGTAACTAGATCATTCATTGTTGCAACAAGAACATTCATCAAGGGAAGTTGAGAGGAGCAGACAGAGTAAAATTGTTGGATGGTCTGGGTTTCCAGGTGAAGAAATTAAGGGTGGGGGACAGTGGCTTATATTATAAACCTGCTACATCACTTCTAATCTGAAAATATACTTCTAAAGTAACTGTTTCTTTAAAATATTGCAGAAGGAATTGTCAATGAAATCAAGCAGCAATGGCAAAATTTTCAATTCGACACTGAAGGAGAACATAGATGAATGAATCTATTGGTTTCAACTTGCACAAGATTCACTGAATAGATGACGGCTACATGTAAATACAGTATTAAAATAAATGCACTTTGTACAGCAATTGAGGTCAGATATTGTAAAGAACATTCTGTAAAAATAACCTTCCCTGTTACATAGTTATGTATAGTGAAAACACCATCAAATGTCCAGTGGATACCTTCTTTCTGAAGGAAGGTTCTGTAAGGAAGAAGCATAATCAAGAAGAGGAAAAGACATGTATTTCACAATTATATGGAGAAAGACCATAAAGAGCAGCTTGTAGTTGATGCAGCCAAGTAGTTATTTGACAACTGTAGTGGTAAAAGACAGAACAGCTTTTTGGTGTACAGTATGAAGATCAGCATGCGGATGGATAGTTTAGGCATTCTTTGTTTATTATTTAGATGGGTCACTAGATTCATTTTTATTATATTTTCTAGTTGTGTATTTTAATCATGCATCTGTTTTCAGATTATAAAATGCATATTGTTTGAAGTTTAAATGTAAAAAAAAAAGAATAAAAATAAATTTAAAAATAAAGTTAAATCCATCTGTTATCTGTAACATTTGTCTCATTATCAAGAAGTAAGTTTTGGTGCTTTGGTCTGCACACAGATAAAGCAGTGTTTCTTTGTGGCCTCTGAATGCACAAATGGGTCTTGTCTGCGCCTGCACTGACATTCTCGGAAGATTCTAGAGCTAAAAGTAACAATTTTGTGGGATGATCCCCCGTGAGGCACATGCTCCTCCCACTCAAGATTCCCCTCAGTTCCTCTTTTCCACCAAGCTGTATGGTTCTCAGGAGAAATAGAGTGACTTTAGAGTGTATTAGAGCGTTTATTAGCTACTTCCCCTTCTGATTTCAACTAAATTGAATACTTCTTGTTTTTAGAATCATCTAATCAGCGATCCCCTGTGAATTGTTTCTTTTTCTTTTCTTTTTTTCTCCCCTGTTTTCGGCTCTTTGCTTGCCCCTCCACTCTTCAACTGTTTTTTTCCTACCATTTATGGCCTCTTTGGCTCTTTTTAAAAGGTGCATTGGTTGCAATAGTAAGATACCGTACTCGGACAGACACAAAAGGTATCTTTTCTGCCTGGGTGAACAGCAGCAAACCCAGTCGTGTGCAGCCTGCAAAAAGCTTACCAAGCCTGCGCTTAAGCAAAGGCTTCAGAAACTCATATCTTACCTCTTGGAAGTTGCTATGAATCGTGCAACTTCAGCTATACTGGTTGTCCAGTCAACAGAGGCATTGGTCGAGCGACAACCATCATCCTTTTTGGCTCCCAGCCAGATGATCCCATCTCCCTGCTCCAAAGAGAGGTCCGATAAGACCACATTGCCCTCCAAACCTAAATCGATGTTGAAGGTGACCCGAGGGCATGAGGCAACTAAAAAGGAAAGAGAAACTGAGTGTTAAAAAGTCTAAGAAAACCAAGTCTGTTCACCTGGAGCCTCCTATTTTGAAAATGGTCCTCCACAGCAAAGGACTGTAGCTCATCCCTTTGTACTTGTTAGCTTTCATGCTGTTTAACACTTTGGGTGGAAAAGAACAGTTACCTCTGACTGTTTATTTTTGTTAAGTTTTTGTAAAATGAGCACATGAGAGTAATGTAGCTAAAGTTTTGTGTTTGGCGAGACAAAGAAAATTCCATATCAAAACAGAATGTAGTCCTAAGATTCAAGGAATGTGCTGTGATAGATATAGAGAAGTGTGCTTTAAGTAGGAATGGAGGAAGTAAGCAGGAAAATATAGTGATGCTTTCAATCAAATACATTTATATTTAAATACTTAATTCTTATTTTTGGAATATTTTTTAATTCTTATTTTTAGAAGAATTTTGTGGCTGATGCAATCCTCAGCCACAAGTTGTTTAATTATGTCAGTCAATATTATGGAAGTTTTCGTGACTGAATTTTAAGACATCATTATAGGCTAAATCTTACTAAGTCACTTAGACTTGAATCTTCCCAGAGAGTTGGTTCCTATTACAGTCAATAGGATTCACTTCTCAGTAACTAGATCATTCATTGTTGCAACAAGAACATTCATCAAGGGAAGTTGAGAGGAGCAGACAGAGTAAAATTGTTGGATGGTCTGGGTTTCCAGGTGAAGAAATTAAGGGTGGGGGACAGTGGCTTATATTATAAACCTGCTACATCACTTCTAATCTGAAAATATACTTCTAAAGTAACTGTTTCTTTAAAATATTGCAGAAGGAATTGTCAATGAAATCAAGCAGCAATGGCAAAATTTTCAATTCGACACTGAAGGAGAACATAGATGAATGAATCTATTGGTTTCAACTTGCACAAGATTCACTGAATAGATGACGGCTACATGTAAATACAGTATTAAAATAAATGCACTTTGTACAGCAATTGAGGTCAGATATTGTAAAGAACATTCTGTAAAAATAACCTTCCCTGTTACATAGTTATGTATAGTGAAAACACCATCAAATGTCCAGTGGATACCTTCTTTCTGAAGGAAGGTTCTGTAAGGAAGAAGCATAATCAAGAAGAGGAAAAGACATGTATTTCACAATTATATGGAGAAAGACCATAAAGAGCAGCTTGTAGTTGATGCAGCCAAGTAGTTATTTGACAACTGTAGTGGTAAAAGACAGAACAGCTTTTTGGTGTACAGTATGAAGATCAGCATGCGGATGGATAGTTTAGGCATTCTTTGTTTATTATTTAGATGGGTCACTAGATTCATTTTTATTATATTTTCTAGTTGTGTATTTTAATCATGCATCTGTTTTCAGATTATAAAATGCATATTGTTTGAAGTTTAAATGTAAAAAAAAAAGAATAAAAATAAATTTAAAAATAAAGTTAAATCCATCTGTTATCTGTAACATTTGTCTCATTATCAAGAAGTAAGTTTTGGTGCTTTGGTCTGCACACAGATAAAGCAGTGTTTCTTTGTGGCCTCTGAATGCACAAATGGGTCTTGTCTGCGCCTGCACTGACGTTCTCGGAAGATTCTAGAGCTAAAAGTAACAATTTTGTGGGATGATCCCCCGTGAGGCACATGCTCCTCCCACTCAAGATTCCCCTCAGTTCCTCTTTTCCGCCAAGCTGTATGGTTCTCAGGAGAAATAGAGTGACTTTAGAGTGTATTAGAGCGTTTATTAGCTACTTCCCCTTCTGATTTCAACTAAATTGAATACTTCTTGTTTTTAGAATCATCTAATCAGCGATCCCCTGTGAATTGTTTCTTTTTCTTTTCTTTTTTTCTCCCCTGTTTTCG